CGTTTAGGGATAACAAGTATTAGTGTATACCATCTCATATTAGGGACTCTATAATTTTAGAAGGTGGGGAGAGAAGGGTCACCAGTCGGTAGCTTGAGGGTTTGCTGCATCGACCTCCTCTGAAGATTAGTGTGATGTGATCCAGCTTCTACATTTCCGGCAGTTTACCTCGGCTTAGCGAGTGTAAAAACATCCCTCTAAGTGGTGATGCTAGTACTGAAGCTGCTTTCTTCAATATAACAGAATGAACCATATCCGGACCGCGAGCAGTGTCTTTCTTTAGGTGCTGCAATTTACGGAACACCAGGTCAGCAATCAGGTCCACTTTTGAAACTCCTGTGCAGGTGCAGGTGAAGCTATCATCAGTGTAGTTGATATGGGTCGGTGGAAATGCCTGAAAGTATTGTTCAGCCAAAAGATTAACGGCATCACTGTCGTTATTGGTCGGACCATTATGACCAAGCAGTTGGTAAACTCCAGTATTGCCTTGTCGAGGAGAATCTGCGTAATGGAATAAGCTTTTCGTATTGGAGGCAAATTTATCGATAAGCTTGGTCTGATACTGAAGCTCATCTTTTCTTATTGCCATTGTGCATATGTTCCTTATATGTTTGTATTGTCTGTACGCGCCGTTGTTATCAGTTCGTTTATATTCAGCCCAACAGTGCCTTTTGTGGATTAGCAAACGAGGAGTGCGATTTTTGATGATTGTAGGTTGTTTGTAGCTTTTTGGGACCGTTTGAGGAACTGAATACTCAGTAGCACATAAGATCGTGTGCAGTAAAAAATCCCAATGAGCATCCACTTCAATTTGAGGGTGAACATCCCAATCTACCTGTTGTAGATAGTCCTGTAAAGCTAACAAATTCAACCGTTTGAAATTTCAGCGCCTGTTGTTAGTGGGATATCGTAGCTCCGTTTTGCCGACAAAGCTGAATGATAAGACGGCGTGATCATTTTTCCCCAGGGGAGCCAGGATTGAGAGGTCGTCAACTAGGAATTCTTCATTTGTGAATACCCAGTCTAAGCGTGACGGCGTCTGACTGTTTCTCCAACGGGTTACCGACTTCACATTTTCAAATAATCCCAGGTCGCCGATAAGGTTGAAGAACAGAGCTTCAGTAGAGTTGGCACCACCAATGTATGTATGTTCCACGAAGTTGATTCTAGGAAGATTGAAGTCCCCTAGAATCAGGATTTGAGAGAATTCGAGACACTTAGAGCGGGTTAATCCTTCCAGCAGACGTTTGTCATACTCGATGTCGGCAGTGGGCTTCCTGTAGAAGACCCCAACTAGACACATCGAGGTGGTAGACAATCTTACTGAGCACCATACTGACTCATCAAGATTGAGAATTTCTTGGTTGTGAAGTTAGTGCCCCTCCAGGCATGACCGAATGTATAGTGCTACCCCAACCGCATTCCTGTTTTTCTGTCGTTGCGAAATAAAGACGTTCCAGTTATTGCTAGCTCCTGGTTCGCAAACTGAGACGTTATCCAAGTTTCGGATATTCTTATCAGATGGGCATGTTTGCTCACATCTTAAGAGATATTTTGTGTTGTTCTCTCTGTGTGACCATCTAGCAATTTGCATAGTCTAAAAAACATGTTTGCGATAGATCCAAATTCTTATTTTCCATCAAGAATGGAATGCACTGTTGCACCTTGAGTTACCCATAGTCTATTAATTACTGCCTCCCATATTCACAGCCACATTTGGTTAAATCTTGTACAAATGTTATTTTTTATTTTATTGGTACGATGCGGTCTGTTTGATTGGGATAGAAACCAAATATGTTTGAAATATAATGATTCACACCACAGAGGCTGTTACTTATGTATTGGACAAATGGATGGGTTAGACAGAAAGCAGGACAGACAAGTACTCTAGACTACTTGTACAGTTTCCGTGTGTCATTTGGTCTAATCTATAATTCGTCACTCACTGATTGGCAGCCCGTATTTATGTTCAACAGGAAGCAAAGCCTGTGTTTCTTCCAAGGAGACCTGTACCTTATTCGATTACTGATGCCTTGGATGCAAGACTTGGCAGATTGCAGAGTTCTGGGGTTATTTCTCCTGTAAATAATTCTGCATGGGCAACACCATTGTAAGAAAGTCTGATGGTAAATTACGTATATGGGGAAATTTATCCACTGGGTTAAACAAAGCACTAAAGGACCATTTATACCCCTTACCCATCCCAGTGGATTTGTTTACTAAGTTGAATGGGTGTTCCATATCTTCGAAGATTGATTTTTCAGATGCGTATCTCCAGGTGGAGGTCGAAGAAAACTATAGATTCTTGCTAACAATGAACAGACACTGCGGATTGTTCCAATATAACAGACTGTTTTTTGATATAAAATATGCCCCGGCAATTTTTCAACAAGTCATGGACACCATGTTAAGTGACGTCCCGTTTGTCATGGCATATATGGATGATATTATTGTTGCCAGTAGGTGTGAAAAAGAACACTATGATCATTTACTAGAAGTTTTTGGTCGTATTAGGGAGTACGGTTTTCGTATAAAAGTGTTCATATTTTATGTTGAATATACGATATTTGAGAACAGTTATAAATTCGTATGGACGTAGACTTGATCCTGAAAAAAATACATGCCATTGTGAGTATGCCAGCTCCATCTAACGTTAAAATGCCTCAGTCATTTTTGGGAATGATTAAGTATTATAGTCACCAAATATGCATGCCCTGCGTGCTCCATTGAATTCACTATTAACTAAGAACACCAAATGGAACTGGATTAAGGAATGTCAAGTATCTTTTAAAAAAGTAAAACGGATCTTGGCGTCTGACTTATTGCTTACTCATTATGACCCATAACATAAGTTAATAGTAGCGGCTGGCACACTTGATTACGGCATTGGAGCGGTGATTCTTCATAAGTTTCCTAATGGTTCACAAAAAGCTATTTCCCATGCTTCACGCACCCTTACTGCGGCTGAAAAGAATTGCTGTCAGATCGAGATGAAGGCTTTTGCCCAAGTGTTTGCGGTCAGAAAATTCCACAGGATGCTATACGGTAGGAGATTCACCTTGCAAACTGAACTTAAACCGTTGTTGGATATATTTGACTCTAAGAAAGGAATACTCATCCACACTGCAAATCGGCTGACTAGGTTGGCTGCTATGTTGCTAGGATATGACTTCGAATTGCTGTATGAGCCGTCAGTTCATATGGGTCATGAAGATGGGTTGTCAAGGTTAATCGCTAATAACCGAAAGCTAGAGGAAGATTGCGTGTTTGCTTCTATATCACTTGAACCGGAAACAAAAAGAGTGTTCTGTGATGCTATCAGAATCCCACCAGTAACGGAGGAATTGGTTAAAGAGGCCACGGCTAATGATCCTCTACTCAAAAGAATAAAAGGAGCTGTTTTAAAGGTTGGAAACAGGGTAAAGCTGATCGAGAATTTCACCAATTTTTCCTGAGACATGAGTCTATATCGATTTATGATAATTCTTTAATGTATGGCGATCGTGTTGTTATCCCTAAATCTCTTCAGTTTTTTTGTGCTTGGAAATAGACCATAAAGTGAAATCATACGATCAAACTTCGCGAGGGTGGTGATGTATGGGCGAGAATGATAATGATTGGTTGTTTTGCTGAGCCAGACATGTAGATAGTGTGACAGATTTCATATGTCTTATGTATCCCCCTATCTTTATTATTTATTGACTTTTATGGACTGTCTGTTCCTTAAATTCATTCAGTATTGCTTGTTTGAATCTCTGCTTACCATGCTTGTGAAATAAGGGTATATTGAGGCAATACGCACAAAATGCACATGTGCCAATTAAAGACTGACCAGTTGCAGTCCTAACAAATCGATGGGAAGATTCAAACAAACAATAATGAAAGAATTTAAACTTCACCCCATTGCACAAGCAAGTGGCTATCAGGACTCAGTGGCCGTGTGGATAACGCGATAGCGTTTGAAGCGAGGATACTTGGTTCGAGTCCCATAGTGAACATCAACTCTAAGATGCAGGTACATCCAGCTGACGAGTCCCAAATAGGACAAAACTCGCGTCCTGGATTCCACTGCTAGCAACTATCCATCCCTGCTTACCATGTCTGTTCCTTGTTGTCGGATTTTGGTGTTGAAATATATTTACGTTCTCAACAAGCTAATCTCGTGTTCTTGATCTAAGCTGTGTTCAAGTCCAGTAGAATAGACACTGGGTAGGAATGTAGTGTAGATATTCGTCTAAGGTAAATTAACGTCCCACATATGTGTAAAAAGTAAAAGAAGTGTTATAACAAGAAACCCTAGTGTTATAATTAGTATCCTACCATTTATAGCACACGTCATACGTTAACGGGGTATTCGCTCGGCTACAAGTTATAATACATATCAAAAGGGTTTTTTGTAGATTTCGGTATTTTCATAGTTGAAATCATGTATCAACTCAAGCTAGACCAACATGAAAAGCCTGAAAGCACTGGACAGCCGTTTCGTCTAATCATGGGACTCCTCAGCAGTACGCATCCACGATCCTGCACTCATGAGATTCGAACTCAGGACCTACCAGTCTCGCGCCAGAGCACTTAACCGGCATCCAACGGTGTTAATCATATGCTCACGAGTGACTCACTTCAAGGGATGTTTCCTTGAGGAGTCCCATGATAGGACATATTTGAGACTCGTCAGATGGATGCACATCAATGGTGTTATTGGTATTCACATGAGAACTCGAATCCAGTAACTCTCGTTTAAAGTACCTACATGTGATCCACTGATTTACTAAATTGAAATGGGATTTCTGACGTTCACAAACTTTTCGGTTATTTGACTCAGTAATAATTGGTTTCACATATATTTGTTAAGTTAATGACCGTTTCATTAAACAACAGTGTGATGTAGAGGTATTTGGAAGATGTTATTGTGGTAATTTAACTGTTTTGTGATTGATCAATGAACTTCATTTAAACGACTAGTCATTATCAACAAATATGTTTCCATTTATTTTAAAATGAATATAGGAGTTTATACTGGATATAGTTCGTTGTCTATCGCTGAAGTATTGCCACCAGATGGACGTGTATTAGCCTTGGATATTACAGATGAATATTTGAAAGAGTATTGTTTGCCAGCATGGAAGATGGCAGGTGTAGAATCGAAAATTGACTTTCGACACGGTCCAGCTATTCAAACACTACGTAAGTCTCACAATGTGTTATGGTATATTGTTATCAAGGAAACAAAACACGGATGTACACAAATTGTTTGAGCATAAGAAATCTATGATGATAAGTATTTAATCATCACTTTACTGATGTGTTCTCTGGTGTCATTTTCGTCCAAATGTGAAGGATTAGATTCATACTATATGTTCGCCGAGTTTATGTAAGACATTGAAGAGGAAGAATATAATTCTAAAATTTCAGTGGTACAATCCTACGTTTCACTTGACAATCTGGTCCAAGCCTTTTCAAGGATAGATGACAAAACATCAAAATTATCGAATATAAATAGGTACAAGGCTCTTCAGCTAACTGTATAATAAGTCGGTTATTTGATCATGTTAACAATATTTGAAGTGAGTATTTGCTGTAGTGTCTATTAGATTCGTGTAACATGGGTAACGAAGTTTGTTAGGAAAACAGAAGTTGTGTTTTGTGTGTAAGTGTATTGGAGGTGTGAGAAGTTATTTCAATTTTGATTGAGATCATTAGCCGATTGATGTTAGACGTCAGCAGTGCGAATACCCGATGCCTCACAGGGGATTCGAATTCAGTTTCCCCAGTTTCGTGCACGAACTCTTAACCTCTAAATCACTGAGCCGGCATATATACTTATTCGTTCAGTATTCGATAACAGTTGAATGTATGTAATCACGATCAGTTTGATGACAGGATTGTCGTAAACTATTTATTGATTTAGTAACTGAATTATTTATATTTTCATTATACTATTGTTCCATCAGAGAATTTGATTGATAATGGAGAGAGTGAAACATTCGATTTTGCCATGATTGATGCTGATAAAGAAAACTATAGTAATTATTACAAATTATGTTTAAAACTAGTTCGACCCCGTGGAATCATCGCCATTAACAATGTAAGTTTGTTTAATTAACGAGCGTATGTTTTATGTATCTCAATCAATGTGAAGTCACTTTTCATGATGAGTCGGTATTTTAATGGCTAATAATGAATCTTCTGTTTGAAATTATCTCACCCTTGAAAATGCTTCTAGATTAGATACATTCTCCAGGAAACATTTCATATATTCAATGAAATGTGAAGCAGTATTATAATGATAAACTACTGTAATTTTACACCTTTGGCTGAATGATAGCCCTATATATTTCAAACCAAACTGCATATCTTGGATTCACTGATTGGAAGTTATTGATTAGAAGGAATTTCAAGTTGGCCTCTTGTAATAGTCCTGACCAACCATTACTGATTTGTGCCTTCAAACGATTCTTGTTATTTGAATGATCACAGTTTAACCGTTGATAATAATCTGACATAGAATATTGATTATCTTATAGATTCTAATCACAGTGTCTGCACCATTCTACATGACACTTATAAACAATCTACTTCCTAGTGAACTGATGAGTTGTCTTATTTCTGTTGCTCCTACATTTCACTCATCCTAATTCACCATCTCTCTGTTCCAGTGCCTAGAATGTAAGAATAGAGAAGAAAGAATTTCGTAGAATTCATCATTCGGACTTCAGTCAGCGGTAGTATGAGGAGTGGTGTTTATCAGTCTTCTGATTTCACTTTCAATTAGTCTAAATTCACATTTTGACAAGTGAATTGCATAATACAGAAAATGATCCACTATGCTTATCCGTAGCCCTTTCCAATCCCTTAGTTCATATGCTGGAGATCAGCTATCTGGGATATTTTCACATCTCGTTTCAAACTTCATAATGCAAACAAAACACTTGAGAGCTTGATACTGAAATTTCAGATTTTATGAATTTGGTTGTGGATCGCTAAAAACTATATTTCCGGTTTATTAAGACTTGTGAGAACAAGGGTTATGTAAGTTGGTTCGAGATATCGGGTGAACCCAATCACCAAATCAAGGATCCTTATGTTTTTCGATTAAGGTTAATTGAAATGTGACCAATGATCAATGGAGTTCAACCAGGTCTGTTGTGATATATCTCTTTACTGAAGACATTGGTGAATTGTTGCTCAACTTCGTGGATTAGATGAAGTTAGGCATTAACACCGTTGGATGCTGGGCGGTTAAATGGTCTGGTGGTTAAGCGCTTGCGCTCGAAACTGATAGGTCCTTAGTTAGAATCTCGTGAGACGGGATCGTGGATGCGTTTTCCATGGTGGAATAGCTTCAATTGACTAATAATTTCAACTAAATATTTGAAGTGTGACAGAAAATTGTCTTACTCCTGTGAATATTACACATGCTTACGGTACCACCAAACCGTACTGAACAATTTTATTTTATACCATTTTGACTTTAATTTCTTCTCCAGGTTCTACGGAGGCACCGTGTGCTCGGCTCTAATGATAACTGTCCTGAAACTCTTGGTATAAGAGAAATGAATGAATTGATAGCTGGAGATAATTGTGTTCGAGTTTCTTTCTTAGGAACTGGAGATGGATTGACAATTGTTGTGAAGAAATGATTGTTGTTATGATTGTTTCCAGAATGCATACATCCTTACAGACATAAACACGTTTGACTGATAAACCGAATTGCTTTGATTTATATCTCACATAAATATTTCCCATTACTAAGCTGTTATTTTCAATCATCATTATATATGTATGTCGTTGTAATAAAGTATTTCTATCAAGTATTTTATTACATTACATACCGTTCCAATCGACTTTTATTTGAGACCAAACATGTCCAGATCTCCCAAATACAAGGAAATTTGTAGGATTGTTGGGTCCTCTTTATAGTCCGCGAGAACTTGAGGGGATGCAGTAAAAAGTCACAGGTCAGTGGAAGTTTGGGTCATTTGAGTCTCATTTTCTTCAAAATTTTTAATATGACTTTCCCGAGCTCGACGAAAGTTTCGTTAAAGTGGGAAGATTGGAATGTTACAGTGGGAAAATATAAGCTTGATGTTTCCAACTTTATGCAGTGCACGATCACTTTATAAAACGTCTTGACGATAGAATGGTAACTAGATCACGATATTTGATCACATGATTCACTCGTCTTAACTACTCAATTAACAATGATGTTAATTGTCAGAAGGGGTTTTGTAGAGAATTTAGTATTTTCATAGTTGAAAGAGTCAGTCAATTAAAGCTAAACCATCATGGAAAACCTGGTAGCACTGGACGGCTGTTTCATCATATTATGGGACTCCTCAGCAGTGCATATCCATGATCACGCACTTGCGAGATTTGAACCCAGGACTTACCAGTCTCGTGCCAGAGCACTTAAACGATAGACCACTGAGCCGGCATCCAACGGTGTTAATGTCTAACTTCAACTGAACCACGAAGTTGAGCAACCATGCACTGCTGAGGAGTCCCATAATAAGACGAAACTATTCAAATATGAAAATAACAGTGATGAAACAAAAGAAATATCAACAGAAATATAAGAAAGATTCCAACTGATACAGTCTGACGACAGTTGGTGATATACTCAAACCGCACAATAAATACTTATTTTCTTAGTATATCTTCGGTGGACGTGAATTGTTTTAAATATAACGAATGTATACCTTAATATTTGCTTCAGTTAATGCATATGATTGTAATCTCCCCCTTGTCACAGATCAAATTATTTGAAATTACCAGTAAACTAAAACATGAAGCTTACTAAATATAGGAGCACAGTAATGTTACAGATCTCCTTAAGAAGGAACAAAACACATTGAATACTATGTCATATCCGATCTGATCTACGACATTGAAAACATAATTACTTACATGAAAGGGTTTAGTTGTGTTATAACTTGTAGCCTTGTGTCCTTATTAATATATAACGTAATGATACTGCTAATTAAAGAACAGTGATTTATTGACCGGATCAGTGATCCGTAAACTCGTATAAAGTCCTTATTTATCATTCTTTCGGCCTAGCCTGGCCTGTTAAATTCAAAACACTAATCTCAGCTTCCGCGATATGAATCATGTATTTCAAACATATTGGGTTTATATACAAACCAAACAGACTACATAGTACCATTAAATAGAAAATAAGATTTGTACAAGATTTGGTCAAATGTGGCTGTGAATGTGGGGAACAGTAATCAATAGATCGGGGACAGACCACCATATTTGATGCTAAAGTTAGTGGATTTCGAATGACGGAAGATCAGGACAAATCATAGGCCATGGCAAACTACTAATGCACAGTTTTCACTCGACAGAATCTTCTAAACGAGGGACTAGACAAAAATACGAAGTCACGAAATCGGGTGCTTGTTGTAGGCTTTGGTCGAGTTAATTTACTAGAGGCCCTTAATACTTTAGACACTGATAAATCAACAGGATCGGATAAACTACACCCTAAAATCTTGGGACGAATCGCGAAATACATTGCTGCCCCACTGACTACAATATTCAAGATATCACATGGTCAAGGTGGGTCATCTACGAACTGGGAGGATGCAATTACAGTTTCATCACATAAAACAGGATCTAGACAACTTCTGTCAAACTACAGACTTGTCAGACTCATCACTGCCGTAGTTAGAAAACAGGGAATTGAAAAGGCCATGATGACATTCGTGGAAATCAACAGTTTCTTAAACGACGAATAACAATGCTTCATGAAAGAAGTTGTCAGGCACAATAAACCTCCTTAAATCATGAGGAACGCCCAAAGTTGTTAGATGGTGGAAAATCAGTGGATGTTGTTTACATAAACTTCATCAAAGCATTTGATAGTTTGCCGAAAACGGACTACTATTGAAAGTGAAGAATCTATTGATAGTCGGATCTCTCATAGAATGGACCAAGGATTTCTTGTTAAGTCATAAACGAAAGGTAGGGGAAAACTCAAAATGCTTCATTTGGAAACCAGAACCTGGTGGAGTGTCACAAGGTTCTGTCATGAGTTTTTTACTTTCTACACTATATGTAAATGAATTCGCCACTATAATTAGGTCCCCAACGCTAAATTTCTCTGACGTAAAAATCTGAGAAAAGCAGGAGACACAGGTGCGATTGTAGTTACAGTGGATTTAGATGTTTTGATCAGGTGGTCTATGAAATGGCTGATGCCTTTCAACGTAACCAAGTGTGTTCGCATGCACACTGAGAATACAAAGGTATTTAGGTACATTATAAGAGAAGAGTTCGCGTCCGTAATTGCGTCTCACAACGACCTTGGGTCATCAACGAACCCCAGTCTTATGACCACGATGTACTGCCGTGAGGTCGCAATTAAGGGCTGTAGAACTACACGAGCTTGAGGATGGACATTTGTCAAATTAAATAAATGTTCGCTACAGTATAAAATACCTTAGTGAGAGCAGAACTTGAAAATTGTGTTCACGTTGTAAGATACCTTTTAAAAGGTGACTCAGATATGGTGGAAAACGTACAGAAGACAACTGCCCGTGGTATCGCAGAACTCCGTTGTTTGCCGTACAAATAACTGCTTGAGAATCTATGCCATTATACTTATCCTACTGAAGATGAAGAAGTGATCTGATTTTTGTGTGAAGAATACTGGTGAATGATTATGGGCCCGATATGTTCTCTTCTTTCCTTCCTAAGAAATCAGTATAACTCCGAGGACGTAGCAGGCGAGTACAAAAAGGAGAAACTAAAAAATTACTAGTGGTATGTTGGTTTTCACACCGAGTTATCAATTGTTGGAACCGGTTACCTGAAGACATGGTGTTCGGACCTCGGAGTAACTCAACTAAGAGAAAGCTAGACACCGTCAGAAGCTCGATAAAAATAGAGTAACATAGACCTTAATATACAAATCTGTAATATTAACTCAAGAATTTACGGATTTACTCGCTTCGGCGGTACATATACTAAAATTGGAACGATACAGAGAAGATTAGCATGGCCCCTGCGCAAGGATGACAAGCAAAATCGTGAAGCGTTCCATATTTTTCCTTCTCTCCATACCTTACAAAATTATGAAATCCCTAGTATACGACGGTATACTAAAATACTTACCATCCTCAAAGTTCTTCTCACCCCTACAGCATGGTATCAGAAAGGATCCTTCTTGTATAGCCAACCTGCTGACTGCGGTGGACAGATGGACAAACATCCTTGATCGTAAGGGGGAGATTGACGTTATTTACCTTGGTTTCTCAGAAGCTTTTGATAGGGTCAACCATATATGTCTTCTCAATAAGCCTAGACGATTGAGTATCAAACCACCTCCGATTGACTGGCTTGCTTCATATCTAGAAAACCGACATTTTAAGGTCAGGGTTAACTTCACTTTCTCCCAGGCTATGGAATGTCCTAGTGTGGTACCCCAGGGTTCAATACTAGGACATCTTCTCTTCTTGATTTATATTAACGATCTTCCTCAACAAGTTTCATCTGACTTATTGTTTTTTGCTGATGATGTGAAACTTTGGAGAGAGATACGTAGTCATAATGATATGCTAGTTCTTCAGGAGGATCTGACCCGACTTCAAAGTTGGGCAGACGATAACGGACTTACTTTCAACACTTCAAAGTGCAAGGTAGTCCATCTGAAACATGTTGCAGACTATAGTTATAACTTAGGTAACTCACCTCTAGAAGTTTCCCAAGTTGAAAAAGATTTAGGAGTGTTGGTACCCTACGACCTGAAATCGTATGCGAACTGTGACAAAAACGCCTGTCAAGCAAACCTTGCACTGGTAACATTGAAGCGCATTTTTGGCCAGTTTGACGGTAGAACCTTCCATATAATCTTCAACTGTTTTTTTTTCGTCCCCACTTAGAGTACGGAAACATAGTATTTCCTCCCTCCCTCCAAAAGGATAAGGTCACTCTGGAACGTATACAACGTCGAGCCACGAAATCAGTTCGGGGACTCAAATTCAAACCTTATGAAGGGCGCCTCCAATCACTTAACCTTTACCCGTTAGAGTGCAGGCGTCTTAGAGGTGATGTTCTTATGACTTATAGTATCCTTAATACTTCTGGCCATCCCCTTAAACAACTTCTTAAGCTTAGTCATAACACTAATCTCAGAGGTAACACCCAGAAATTGGAGACCCTACATAGCAGAACAGACTGCAGACACAACTTCTACTCCTTAATAGTTGTCAAGTAATAATAATAATAAGTGCTGGAATTCGCTGCCGACTGAGCTAGTCCAAGCGACCTCCCAGGAGTCCTTTAAGAGAAAACTTGACTTATTCTTAAGGACTAAGGATAACATATTATTATGACTTACCAAATTCTTTTTTCCCTCTATTATCGTTCATATACCTAGGTTTTTGCCTGGAGGTATTGGTGATTCACTGCTATCAGACACGGAAGCCCGTTAAGCGAAAGCTTCTTCTATTCCTTTGATGATGCAACGGATGTTCTAGTTTTACAACTAGCTACCAGTAGCACCTTCTAAATTTGATCGTTCCCAGTCAGATAGAAATCGGAAGTCAGACGAGAAGAGGCAGGAAAGATATATTTGATTCGTTACCAATATATCGAGGACCTTTTCTATGAGCTGGCTAATGAAACGTAGGAG